ATTGCGTCTTGTACATTGTTTGCACGTTGGAAGAAAAAGAAACTGTATCAACGTGAACATTGTGGCCCCCACCACAACCGGACCCTATAAATAGCTCACTCTCAACGTTTCTTAACCGCCTGCCTGACGTTCACTCTTCCCTCATTTCCTTTCTCACACGCGCAGAATCTAAAACATCTAATTTGAAACCGCTCCTTAGTTGTTATGCAGACAAGGATGAAGCGCAGGCTTGAAGCGCAAGTTTCTGTTGAAGTTGAATCGCAACCGCTCAACTTCTGGAAGAAGCAGCTTCGTTCGAAGCTCCCTCGCCGCCAACGACGACAGATCTCTCCGATAATTCAAAATTATTCTACAATTTCGAACAATACTTTGGAGTCCAGAACAGTAAGTGAAGTGTCATACGATTCTAGCATAGCCTCAGTTCACGCAAAGAAGCCTCTGCGAAAATCTGAAAATGAAGCCGGAGATGAGTGTCGGAGATTTACAAGATCTTATTATAGGAATAAAGTGGAAAATGAGAGTAGAAAGTGTGATGAAGTGGAATTACAGGAGAGTTCATGCGTTGAGTCGTCTTCTGGAGCTGTTGTGTTTGAAAGTTCTAGGGAAAAAGGGTTGAAGTTGAAGAGTAAAAATATACAGAGCGAGGATTCGGAGGCAATTACCAAATCTGAAGTTTCTAGCGTTCCTCAGTTTTCATTTCTCAAGGAAGTGAAGAAGAATAAGAATTCTGTTGAAATTACTCAAGACGAGGCCACTTCAAAAATTTCTAGCATTCAATCATTTTCTGGTGATTTGTCCACGAAAGTGTTGAGTCGTGGAGCTGAGAAATCTGAGGTTTCACTTGAAAACGATGTTGTTTCATTTAACTCCGTGGAAAATTCAATCAAAATCAATGGAAACAGAACAGGCAAGAACGATGGCGTTGTCTCAGAGGTTTCAGCTAACTGCTGCGAGTCAGGTGCTAGCAAGAGTATTCTGGAACTCGCTGCACCTGACATTAACTTGGCTTGCTCGGAGCATTTCTCGAGCTGCAGCTTTCTGGATGGAGAAGAAGAGAATCAGAACTCGTCAGATATATTCACTGAGACTTCCGATATGGAGTTTGAATATTCAGATGATACGCAGTTGTTTTCTTTCGATTCTGGAAGTCAATTTTCAGAAAAGTCGATTGAAGATGAGAGTACTTCGCCGATGTTTCAATTGTTCAAGCAGTTTAAAGAACAATTCTGCAGATCAACGTTTGCCGTCAATTGTACTTCTAAAACCTGGGAAAATTATGATTCTCACGACACTGTGAGTTTCGATAAATTATTTTTTATTCCTGAAATTTTATAGACATACTTTTTGATTGCTTTATGTGTGAATATTATTTATATATAAATGTCTTAGTCTAGTACAAATTGTGTAAATGCTAGCTAGGATCTCAGCTGTATCTGACATGGCTACATTTACGTTAAATTTTATGTATTGAATTTTGATAATTGATGTGTGTTTATACCAGATAAACTATACGGAATTAAATATACCGAGATTGATTTACCTAAACAAATAGGACTTTAGCGAGGTACAATCTTCCAATAACATGGCATAAATTTTTGTGTACTGAATTTTTATTTGTGTAATTTTGATTATTCTTAATTATAGAACATTGTTACGTAAAACTTTAATAATTGAAATTTTATGATTGATTTCAGTTTCATTTAAGCGCTTGGAAATCTGTATTTTCTACAGTAACTTCCGAACAATTAACAAAAATATAATTGATTAAATGATTTATTTATGAATTAAGTTACTTGGACTTGAACAAAAAGAAGATGAAGAGAGCTACAGGATGCTGAGGGAAAGAGAGAGGCGGCAAGTGTATCTGTTCGACTATGCAGAGGAATACTGTTCAATCACTGACTATGGCCAACTTGTCATTCAGCAACGCCTACAGATGGTCCATTGGATTGTTGAGGTGAGTTAAAATCTTCGACATTTTACATCATAAAGTTATGTGACATTGTTTTAGTTCCTATTGTTTGCTTAATTATTAGGGTCTCTGTGACTTAAGAGAGGATATTTATGTTGCTATACTGCTACTGGTAAAAATGGTTATCTGTGACTTCGAGGATATGAGATGTAGTATCAATTTTCTGCAAATTGCTTCTAGCAAATCAAGATTTAGAATCTGTTATTTGTTTACTGAGAGAACAAGATGCACTACCTTGGGCACGTCCATGTGTATTGCACAAACTTTAGAAAGGAGAAGTGCTCATTCTATACAGAGGAAGACTGGGAGTGTTCTGTAGTTTTAATTTCGCCTACAGGTCCGTTATAGTGAAACTTTGTCTTATTGTCAAGCCGCACATATTCTAGTTAATACAGTCATGTAAGTGGGTAGATGCACCAGGGCTATTTTTGTCCTCTCACGTCATTTATTCTACTCAGGGCTAAATACCTAAAGTTTTTCTAGTATTTGGTGGTATACCAGTTCATTTGGTCAAGAGAATGCGATGAAGTAAAAGAAGCTATTGGAATGTGCAATCCACTTGCAATAGAATTCACAGTTCATTACATTCTCAGATATTGCATTGCTTGGTTTGCACATTCATTAATGCAACTCATGTTGCAGAAATGATTTAGCTTCCTCTCTAATGATGTGAATCTCTACTGTCTCAGAATGATCACTCTCTCCTTTAGACAGTGAAATAATTGACAAATTGCAATATCAAGAGCCTTTCTATATTTCTATTTTCTGTATTGATATTTACAGATAAATTTGTTCCCCATTATGTACCACAGCATGCTACAAATAAGGAGCTTCAGAAAGAGACAATGTTCTTAGGTGTTAACCTTCTTGATCGATTTCTATGTAAGGGGTACTTCACAAACAAGAGGAATCTTCAGATTGTTGGCATTGCCTGCCTTACACTAGCCACCAGGATTGAAGAAAACCAGCCTTCCAACTGGTACCAATTTATTCCTTTGATCGTCTCTTATTGCATTGTATGATTGAGAAACCACCTTGAATTACGTAAATAGTGTTCTCATGTATTGACATACATGACGAATAATCATACTCTGATTTGCAATAAGTAGAGCCACCATAAGTATCAGGCGATATTTAGTAATTTCCAAGAATGAGGAACATATGGCATCATGGAAATATTACGGGGGAAAGTATGGACAAACAACAAAATTGTAGGCAATTGCTATCATCATTATTTTATGGTCTTTTATGATTTCAGTTTCTTCCTTCCAGTTGATTTATTGAATTTAGAGTGTTCTAAAATGCAGAATTGTCATCAAGTTGTAAATTCATTAGCCAAAAGATTAGGAATATTTCTCAAGTCCTTTGTCTCTCTCTCTCGTCCTTGCTTATTTCCTATGAGCATAGTCAAATAACACATTCCATTCTTTTTTCCCTTCTGTTTTGTGCTTTCTTTTTGGGGGTAAGTTTCATAGGAAGTTGCTCACAATAAAAGAATCTGTATGAATGTTTGAAGTATTTTAATTAAGAAAAGTACTTACCCTAAATAGGAGGTTGCAAGATGTTATATTTGATGAGTATCCAATACATAATATTTCCAGTCATCCCTCGTACAGCGCTATGATATGATATTGGACTAATACTATAACACTAGTATAGGGTCTCCATTAATTTTTTACACAGAGTCCTCAGAAAAATGCTCCTCTGTTTACTTAAATTTAAATTCCAAGTAATAGGGGTAACCAGGAAGATTGCTATGGCACTGCTGCAGGCTTAACTTCTTTCCCATTATGATCTCACTTGTCAATCAATTCTTGGACATTCAATCTCTAATATACTAGAAATTTCATTTAAGTGTTCGAAGGAAGACATTCAATGTCGGAAGTACTGCATATGGCCGATGTGAAGTGGTGGCTATGGAGTGGCTGGTGCAGGAAGTCCTTAATTTCCAATGCTTCCTACCCACCTATTACAATTTTCTATGGTACAAGTTTCGTCACCAAACTCCTAAGATGTCTATAACTTCAATTCTCCCGCACATTGAGCACTTCAATTAATTATGTCCACAGGTTCTACCTCAAAGCAGCAAGAGCTAATGAGCAAGTGAAGGGGACTGCCAGATACCTAGCAATTCTTGCACTGCTGGGCCATCAACAACTATGTTTTTGGCCCTCAACTGTCGCAGCAGGCCTAGCCATCCTTGCTTCTGTTGCAACAAATCAAGTGGCATCCTGCCGCCTACTTACAGAGGTAAGCAAGAATTTATACAAATTTATCAACTCCGAGTCTCTCTTTAAAGACACAAAGTTGTTTGTGGAAATTTATTTTTGTCACGGTATGAAATAAAATTTCAATTATAATTTCCATTTAATTACACAACGTCTTGTAATGCATACCATTTTTTTTTCTATGAAACTTAAATGTTAAGCATTGAAACAAAATTTTATTACCCTTGAAACAAAGTTATCAAACAAAATGCTTCTTTTTTTTCTTTTTCTTTTTCTTTTTTAATTGATAATTGATGAATATTTTGACTTCAATCTGCAGTCTCAAGCAATACGGAAGGACAGTGATTTACCTGAATGTATAAAGGTAAAAAACACTAATATTTACGCCAAAGAACTTTTTACCCATCGTAGTTTTTCAATTTTTTCCAAAATATACTCCTCAGCTGGCATTCTAATTTAAGGCGCAGTAACTTCCCATTATCAACTATTTTCTACATAGAATGTCTTTGCAGTTTTGAAGTTAGCTATGAATGTCACCATTGTGTATTCTGTTTGACAGAGCTTGGAATGGTTAGTGAAGTACATAAACTAGCTAGAGCTTCAAGTCGGATCAAGTGACGCTGGGGACTGTTGTACTTTTCCATAGTGCAATAGAACACTACGTGTAAATTGTTCATTAAATCCGGAAAGAAAAGCCTTACATTCTTCTAGTTAGCTGTCTAATATACTGTAGCTGAAGATAAAATTTCTTTCTATTACGAGCTTGTAATGACTCAACAAATTATGGCGCGCCCAAAGAATAAAAAATTTCTAACCTTTACTCTGACTAATATGCCTCGAGTTTCTTTGAACTCATCTGTGCATAAAAATATTACAGGATTTAGATTAACATTAGTATTTACTAAACACCCCTCATGAGAATTTACAAGTAAAAACAGATTCTCACGTCAAAATAAAAGAGAACTACACCAAACCTATGAAAATATAGAGAATATCTTTAAATTTCTAGAGAATGACTTCAAAATCATGCAATGATTCAACTGAACTATAACCTTCAGAATGCTCATACCAATCCCAGTTCATTGAAAATCCTCATACGAGTTTACTTCTTCGCATCCGGTGATTTACAACCACAGGAGATTCATCAAGATGGACGTTTGCAAGGTTGTTTGCCATTTTCTTTATCTAGGGTCTCCCTTTTGTTCTCGTCCGCCTTTTCAACTTTCTCCTTTGCTATTGCTCTAACACCCTCAGCCGTCTTTGAAACTACATTAAACGCATTCGAAACCCACGAAGCACCAGTGGACACATACGGGTTGGTCATGAAGGCAGATCCGGTACTGCTGGCCTTCTGCTCGGCAGCTGCCAAGGCTGATTTTGTCATTTCCGACACTTGGTACCGTTCGTTGACTTCTCTCACCTTTTCGTTCACCACAGCTGTACCTGCACTTAACTTCTAACTCAAGCCGATCTTACTATCGATGGAAGCAACCGTGGCCGAGGCATTTGATATTAAGTGGTGCCTTTCATCGAAAAACTTTGCCTTGTTGAGGGCATCCTTTCCCAAGATGAAGCCCTTAGCTAGCATGGTGCTGACAACATCCTCCGCCTTTTTCACAGCAGAATCTGTAACAGTTGGCTTTGACTCCTTCGAAGGCCGTAAAGCAAAAAACGAGTTAAAAATGAGTTTTATAGATAGAAGTATAGAACTACGTACATGATCAAACAAAATAAAACAATAAACACATTACTCTGCCAATTCTACCATTGCATTATCTGTAAAACTATATTTCATGCATCGTATTGATGTGTATCCGTGTAGGATTTCTTCCTCAACGGGTCAAGTCATGAGCCAGAAAAAGTCTCCCAAAATAAGGTTCGGAATTGAACTTAAAGATAATAATATCCACGTATTTTGATATAACAAACCCACATGCTTTTGATCTTTTAAGTTAATTGCCTTTTTTCCTAATATAAACTTCAGCATAAATTATCTCATTGATGGGTTGGTTTTTCAGCTTTCCAACTTACTGTAGAAAAAATCATGCAATTTGAGGCTAAGTAACTGCTACTATAAAAGTACAGGGTAAACCAATGCATAAATATTGAAGGTAAAACATTCTATGTCATAGAGAGAGAGAGAGAGAGAGAGAGAATAAAACATCCAATTGACTCTGAAGATCACATAATGAGAATGGATAGTATTATTGCCAAAATAAAAATAGGAACAGTTTTAATGAAATATATGAACAATATGCTTGGTAAAGCTTTTTCAAGCTTATAAGCTGATCAATCCTCATTTTTTATCGACACATTCCATAGTACCCATATCTCTTACCCATACATCGTACCTTTGGCTTATAATCTACAAATAGCTTTATAAAACATACACAGTCATTATGTCAAGTTATGAAGATATTAAGCTCTCTCTCTCTCTCTCTCTCTTTCTTGTTTCCACGAGTTCATGTATAAGTATTAGCAACCTGCAGCAGTGTGTATAATCAACATTTTATTTTATTTTTTTAAATCGTGGAGGCACATTTTACAATAACTTTGGCTAGATGAAAGAGGAAAACTAATTTAAAGGCCTGAAAAATAAAGATGTAATAACGCGCTTGAGCAATTCAACTTCATTTGGCTCCAGATGTTTACACCTCAAGGCAGTTCCAACTTACAGGTGATTATGGAANGTTCAATCCAAAAGGGTCGCTACATTTCCGATAAGTACTTATGGGCCCAAAGCGGACACCGTTTGCGTAAGTTACGCTCATTTATTCGAAGGTCGAAAATCCAAGCGTGAAAAATAAGCGAGCGATTGTTCTTTAAAAAAAGGACGAAAACCCTAATACGTCATTACCAAATCGTGAACTAAACACACAACGGTCGCTACATTTCCGAAAATAACATATGGTCCCAAAATGGACACCGTCTGCGAAAGTTATGCTCAAATCCTCGAACGCCATCAATCCAAATATGCAGCTGCACGTTCTTCAAAAAATGGTCAAAATCCCTCATACGTCACGAGAGTCCTGACAATCACATGAACTCACCAAGTTCAGAGGAGAAGCATTTGGAGGCAGCTTATAGTTATCGACAGGAGTTACAGACACCGGAAGACCATTTATTGTAGCTCCCTGAAAATTAAAATGGATCGATTATAGATAATTTTAAAGATCTAATAATATTGATTGAAAAATGGTCAAAAAAGGAAATGAATTCAGAATACTCGTATTAGCTGCTCACAATAATTGTTCAATGAGACTAGGAAATTCAATGAGTGAATCCCTTCTGTCAGTATTGGTTGATTGTATAGATATTGGGAGAGATTTTTTCATGTATATTATATGACATTCAAAATTAATCCTAATGTATAAATGGGCAGTATCCTATTTCTGTTTTCCTTTTTGCTCTCAAGAGCAATGATTACGTGCAAATCAACTTCTACAATCATCAGTCTTCCTGAGAAAAATCATTTATACAGGCCAAGTTTTGAATTGGTACCATCTTTCTTCTCTAGTATATTTCAAAAATGAATGTTCTCAACGAATGAAAGTTGGAAATGAAAAGTTTGGCAAAAGATTTTCTTTCCAAATTGTTACAAATCGATGTGGAAGACAATAAGTATCATGAAGATCACTACGTAAGACTGAACAATTTGAACAGTAAATAATTTAATATACCGACAAAAGTATAGCAGTGTCTCCTCCCTGTGACTCATTGAAGGTAACGTATGCAATCTGAGCGTTTTCAGTACTCCTGCAGATGAACAATCAACTCTTTTAAGCTCATTTTTTTTTCAATTAGACAGAACAGGCAAGTAAGCTAAAGGGCTTACCTTTTCATCTCGACAAATTGAACGTTACCAGAGAAAGAGAAGAATTCCATTATATCTTTTTCAGAGGCAGCCAGTGAAACATTACTGATTTTAACTGTTCTTATCTGTCAAAAGTAAGAATGCAAGTAAATGAGTTGCAGCCCTCATCTGCTAGATTTCGTGCAAACAACAAGAAACTAAGCTTTGTTTCCAATAAATTTGGAGACGCTCCACGTACAATTTTTCTCCACTTCGTTCTGTTTGGTTCATTGCTAAGATTGTGTGCAAACAAAAAAGAAAAATAACAGCATAAATGTTGGCCACATTAGGTTGATGACCTGTTGACAGCAACAAGAAGCTAAATCTTATTCCCAACATATTTGGGGTCGGCTACGTGAATTCTTTACGACAATCCCATCAATTAATTACTACAAGACTACAAGTCCTGGTAGTTTGCATAACAAAATGCGATTTCATATAGTTTTAAGTTGGTGAACTCGTGTGAGTGGCAGAATCATAATTTTGTTAGTGTTTATAGTTATAGCACTTCCACTATCGTCAACAATCCATACAAAAGTTACTTTCCTTGGTTGTTTAGCTCTGGATTCCTCTATCAAAATTATCCAACATTATTTAAGCATCCTTCTCAAAACAAAAGGCTATGAATGGAGAGGCTGTCTGGCACATTCACTGCTCAAGAGTAAACAGTTTTTCATTGTGGGGACAAGTGAAAATAATCATAAACTATAATTACTCCATAAAAATTCATAATTATTCAGGCAGAGTGTTCTTTTGTGGACATCAACAAGGTGGAAAAAAAAAAAAAAAAAAAAAAAAGATTATTGAGACAAGGTATGTAGATTTTGGACTACAAGGTGGTTCGTGAATCTTACATCAGAGATATCACTTGTGCAATTAAGAGTATTAGTTGGCTTGGAGTCGTCTCCCTTTTTTGCATCAGTTTTATCCATGAGACCCTGCACATGATCAGCATAATGAGGTCCTCGTGGTTAAAATAAGACAGAAGTTGGATTTGCTTGGAAACTCTTATAGCATCTCAAAGAGAATCTCTAAATAAAAGATACTCTCTATTTTAGAGAGTTAATGCTTAAAAATAAGCTCCAAGAGACTCTCTATTTTAACTTTTAAAAAGAAAGAGTTGGTTTGGCTCTCCAAATTCACTCTCTATTATGAATTTACAAGCGATAACAATTAATAAGTTACAAATTTCAATACTGTACTTCTTAAATTATTAAAATTGTAAGTATTATGCCCTAAGTCCAATCAACTTTGGACATAAATACTTTTATATATAATTAATGCAATTAAATGGCAGATCTATTATTTAATTAATAGACAATTAAATAAATAATAGAGTCCGTAAATTCAAATATTTGTAATTTGTTAATCACAATAAGTTGTGATTGTGAGATACAAATTACATCTGATTGAATCTTAAATCATCCGTGGTCGTAAGTAATGACGAGATACGGATATCGTTATTACGGATAGACCATCACGTGTGACATTTCTTACTTGTGAAGTAAGTAGCTAATCTCACAAGTTAAAGTGTGGTGACACTTAAATGAACACGTGGATGTTTTGGTATAGAACAAAACATTGGAGACCCGTCGAGAGATTCCACATGGATAACTATCTGAGTATCAGTGGTTAATCTCTAACGTTCGGTAGTGAAATTGGTCCTTTGACTTGAGGTCGTCATGGTACCTTATATGAGGACAGTCATACTTTGGCGGTGTTGGATGTTGCTCTGAAAAGGGCCGCTAATACGACATCGTTCGGGTACGTCAAGAATCATATGAAGGTTGTGATTGATCAATAAAGGATTCGTCACTCTTAGATAGTAGGAGATTATGATCTGCGTTTCATTTAATTAAGTCAATAATCAAATCCTTGGCCAAGGTGTACTCATAAGTCGAAAAGGAGTTTTCGATTTATATTGACTTAATAGTGGAGTGAAAGATATGATCGATGATCGAGATTGATACAATTCCATATCTCGTAATTGATCACCTATTTGGGTTTATATAAATACATAACTAGGGTTTGAGGTTCATAATGGTTTTATTATTCTTGCCGGCACAAGAAAAAAAAACCCTAGAGGCTGCAATCATATTCTCTGTGTGGATCACCGTTGGAGGCTGGACAATTGGACAGCTGTGGTGGCGAATCAAGGTTGATAGAACGAAAAAAAAAGCAAAAAGATTGCAGATCTGGAAAAGGTACAATCTTATCACAATTTCTATCTAAACACAAAGGCGATTCTTGGTGGGAATCGAAAATTATTTTAAATTCCGCTGTACATGTATAGGTAGATTCCCAACAAAAATCTCATATGAACTGGTTGGGCATTGATATACAAATAAAATATGATAAAAAAGAGATGAAGAGAAATCAATAAATGTTCCTTATAAAAAACAAAACGAAGAAACAAAGTAGAGAGCATCGTTGGAGTGTATAAAAGTAATTACTCTATATAATTAAAGACCCTCTCTATTATGCACAAAATGCTTTTTATAAATAGAGTGTCTCTTGGAGATGCTCTTGAAGAGCTTATTTGAGAGATTGGCCAAGAGATAAGAACATAATCTCAAAACTAGCAAAAGGATTCTGAAAGTTTTCAACATAGCATAATTATATTGATTCACATCAAATCTCAATCTTTAAAACTTCAATCAAAATATGACAGTCATTTTAGAAAAATTTAAACCAAATGACCAATGATCCTAAGTTGAATTGAAACTTTGTCAGGTATATGCTAAACCTTGGCCTTCTACATAAACAGACTGCTAAATGGATCATTTCTTTCCACTCCATTTAGTTCATTAGTACAAGATTACAATTTATGATAGTTAAATGAAAAAAAAAATAATAATAATAATAATAAAAAATGCAACTTCATGTTTTTTTTTTTTATTTATTTATTTATTTTTTTAAGTCAGGGGCCTCAAGCAAGTGGCTGACTCGTACTTCTGTTAATGTTATACAGTTATATTATGACTACGACTACGGGTCCATACAAAGGTTACTTTCCTCCATGATTTGGTTTCTGGGTTATGCCTTAATATCCATGATGTCCAATTCCGCCAATCAAAAAATCCAAATTTGTTTGTCTTTCACTATTTGGGAGTTGGTGGTTTTTCATCATGGGAACAAGTTCAAATAACTGTAAATGTTAATTAAGCCAAAAGAAAAGCATTATCATTCAGAGCAAAACAGTCTTCTTTTGTGGACATCAACAAGGAGAAAGATGATTATTGAGAAAAGGCATATAAATTTTGGCTACAATGTAATTCATGAAGCTCACATCTGAGACCTGGATTGTGCAATCAGGGGTACTAGTCGGCAGGGAGTCTTCTACCCTTTTCGTTTCAGTTCTGTCCACGGGATCCTGCAAATGATCAGCACAATGAGGTCCTTGTAATTAAAATGGAGCAAAGAAACTGGAATTGGAACGCAAGATGGTCTTTGGAGACTCCAAAGAGCTTATTTTGAGAAACAGGTCATGGGATATTATCACATAATCTTAAGAATAGTAAAATGATTATGAAAGTTTTCAACATAACATAATTATATTTATTAATACATCATATATCAATCTTTAAAACCTTAGTCAAAATATATGTCAAAATCACTTCAGAAAAATGTGCACCAAAAACACCTTACATCTGAGGCACTGATTGTGCAATTAGAAGTACTAGTCGGATGTGAATCTTCCCCCTTTTTGGTTTCAGTTTTATCCAGGGGATCCTGCATATCATCATCATGGCAATTCAAAATTCAAAATGCTTATTAAAAAAACCAGAAAATAAGAAATTAATAGAAAGATTGATACACAAGATAAATAGAAGAAAAGATAGAAGAAATGCGTCCACCACCTACATATTTCATACATTTTCCTATATAGAAACTCATAACACTAACCCCTTTTGTAAACCATCAATTACTCGTCGATCAAAAAAAATGAGTTAATGGGCTAATCCTCTTATCGCGGATGTTTTATAAAAAGAATCTATATGAACATGACCATATATAATAGGTCCCAAAGACTTCTCATAAAACCTGTTTTAACAAATAGACTTATTAAGTGAAAATTTTTGAAAGAAGAATAAATAGGTCTATGTAAAAGGACACCTTATATATTCTGAAATAAGCCATATTGACTGAATAGTTGCATCTTTCCAAAAATCCGTACAAATCAATCAAATCATTTAACTTTTGATGTAAAAGGTTTATGGATGGAGTTAACCATTTGGTTAATAAATCCAGTTCCTAGTAAATAAAATAATGCAAAGAAACTGGATTTGGAATGCAAGATGACTAACAAAAGGATCTTGAAAGTTTCTGACATAGCATCATTATATTAATCTTTAAAACTTATCAATAAGCCAGACCATACTTCGAGTTGTTTCATCCCATAAATTAACTCCAACACTCAGGAAACTGCTGGACAGGCCGCCCAAGCCTGGCTAAGGAAGAGTTACGGGACATAAAACAAAAATAAAAAAAATAAGTGATGACAAGAGGTGTCGATCCCAGGAGGAAGGGGTGAATGGCAGATCACAGAAAACAACCATTACATAGGCAAATTGTAAAAGAATGATAGAAGTAGCAAATTTAAAGGATGTGGATTAAGTTGTCAAAACACAGGAAATTCCAATGCTTCACAGTGAGATCAATCCAACTCCTACTATCAGTAAATATTACATAAATATTATTGAGCAATTTAAAAGATTAACAAATACATTTGCTTAGAAATCCCCATTGGCCATTCATTATTAATTAATGACAACTTTTCACTGGATCAGATTACATAAGTACATTCCCATAATAAAATTCCCTAGATTTATGCTGAGAAACTATGCATAGTTTAGGGGTAAAGAGTCCAATGCGTAATTACACCATACACAATCACAATAAAAAAAGAACTGGGTTTTCAAAGAATTCATCTATTAACAGTATTTGAACATAAATCTGTTAACGAAATTGAATTCAAGATTCAAGACTTACTGACATCATGATGGAAAGAAACTAAAATGCAGGGCCTCAAGATCCTTATTCTGAATTATGGTGATGAATATAATGCAAATAATATGAAGGAAATTACGGAAAAGTGTTAATACCTCATATGAAATGGAAGGGATAAGAAAGAGAGTTGTGAAGCTTGACGTCTGCCTGCCATTTTCCGGGAAGTCCTCACCACCCCACGATCAGAAGCATCCTTAACACCACCACTTCAAAGATGAAAGTTTTAAGAAAGATCTACACGCCTAAAATCAAGTATAGACGTACAGTGGCCTTCCTACAAAAAAAAAAAAAAAAAAAAAAAAAAAAAAAAAAAAAAAAAAAAAAAAAAAAAAAAAGAGCAGCCAGTAGCTCGTCGCCTCACTGAAGGCCGAGTTGATGAGCACAAGCGTGTCAGGGAGTTGAGTTGAGTCGAAACTCCGACTCGGGCTCGACTCTAGCTTTTTTTTATCCGAGTCGAGCAGAGCAAAAGCTCGATAAAAAAAATAAGGCTCGATCCGAGCTTTTGGCTCAGGCCTTATCAAGTCGAACCGACACATTTTTTATTTTTATTTTTTATACTTTTCCCTTCTACATGTTGCCGGTTGTAAAGCTGTCGGTTGAGGCAAATTAGCTGCCTATTTGGCAACTAAAATAGTTGCCGGTTAAGGCAACATTTCTTTGGCCCAAGCTCTAGCCTACTACTCAAAAGGAGGCTCAGCCTGAATCTTGGCTCGGTGTCTCCAAGCCTCCAGCCAGGTCAGCTTGAGCTTTTTTCGGGTAGAGCCACGGGTGACCCGAGTCGACAAATCCGATTGCCATCCTCAGTGAACAGTCGTCTCGAGGTCAACTCGAGCTTAGTCGCACAGTAGTCAAGCCCTAACGGTGCAATTATAATTGAGCCCATAACTAATTTAAATCACTCAAATATTTAATAGTTCAAATTCTCCGAGCCTATACATATTAACATTGAGATTGAGATGGATCATGCAATTTTTAAGTGAGATTGAGATGAATCACAAATTTCTTAATAATACCCTAAATTATAATTGATTTTGTTTTACTCCAATATTTTATAAAAATATAAGTGATGCTAAATTCGTTTTTATTTTTTGCATTAACGAGTGAAACTAGATGATAGGATTTGATAATGAAACCCAGTAATGGTATTAGGCAAAAAGGCCAAAGTGATATTTACTATTGATAATGGGTGAATGTATCCAAGAATAAGCAGCTATTAAGGGATATACTCCCACATTTTCTAGGTTATACAATGACACCAATAAAGGGAATTTAAGTATTATAGTTAAAAAAAAAAAAAGAAAAAAAAAAAGAAACACAAACACTACTATTTAAGTATTATAGTTAAAAAAAAAAAAGAAAAAAAAAAAGAAACACAAACACTACTATTTAAGTATTATAGTTAAAAAAAAAAAAGAACAAAAAAAACCACAATTACACTGTTAGGGAGGGTTTGCAAACAATAGGATATCACTTTTATTGGCCTTTTTTATTAACATTGATCACATTCTCATGTGACTGTAGGTCAAGCAGGACGTCAACTTCTTTTATCAGATAAGTTTATTTCAAAAAGATATTGTTCTATTCTGATATGCCTCGCAAGATGGTGCTTCCATCCGAAAATGAATCTTGGATTGTAGTGAATGAAATTGTTGTCTTGCCAAAGTTTTTGCGGGGAATATACAAGTCGACCGTGGACGTAACTTGAGCCACTAAAAAATTGGCAGTGAGGGACTGAAAACATTGGTGATCAAAGTTGTTGGTGTGAAGACTCGATTCTCGAGCATCCATACATATATCGGAGAGAGGCAGAGAGCTAGATTCCCTAAAGAAAATTCCTCAAATATACTTTAGAAATATGTACTATCAATCTTTAGTCTAACAAAAGTAAGTACTTGTGTTCTTATTAAGCCCCTATTTATTGTTGATTTTTTAAGCCAAAAAATTAATTTTTTGATCATGACATAATATAGTCAGCCACCTTTTCTAACCTCTTCACTCATAGATGTGATCCACTTTTTAAGCTAACAATCAAAAAATGAGAAAAAAAAAATATTTTTCAAAATCAGCACCAAACAGACTTTAAATATTTCGTGTCAAAAGGTATTCATTCTTCAATATCTATAGTAAGTAGATCCTCGAGATAATTCTTTTTCTTCTTTTCCTATTAGTTAACATATTTTTTAATCAAAATTGCAATTTTCCAATTTAAACATCTTATTGTGTTTACAATACTAGATTTTTTAACAATTTTCTTTATTTTTGTCACAATGTCATCCATGCCCGAGTTCGGATCTTCATCCTTAAATGCTAAAACCTCTTTATTTTGGGGGCGTATATGATACTTGGGCTCCGGGAGGGGAAGATGTAAGAAAAATTACCAACTTGACCCTTAGCTCAAGTATTATATTTGGTTATTTACTAAAATCGCCCTTTGGAGGGGAAGGATGGATTGTTAGTGTGGACGATTTAGAAGATATAATCGGAGGACATGTATGGTTAGGTTCCATTTGTATACTTGGTGGAATCTCAATGGAAATTCGACACGAATCGACCAGCTATTATATAAAATTGGTCACAAGATTAACCGCAGTGCAAAAACGAATCAACATTGCAACTCTTCCTATTTATATATTCCCCACACACTCATGATTCCAACCATAGAATTCGGCGCAGATTCGCCTGCCCTGAAAATGGTAATATTAGTGCATTAGTGCCCTTCATTCTACCTTTTAAGAAATATAAAGTACATAATTGGGTTGGTATCCTTGGCCCTTTTCTATAGTGCATCGAAATTTTCTTGGCCCATTCTTTGTTAATGATAAAATCAAAAAGAAAAAAAATCATACATATCAGTTGTACAATTTGAAAATGCAAAACTTGAGTATGAGATAATTAATTAAATATAATAAAGTCACAATTATATAATTAATCATCACAGAAACATAACTATAGATCATAACTTATTTATTGATCATATAGTATCAAATTAATTAGTCACGAATTATGTTGAGATAACAAATCAAAAGATTCATGGATCACAGTTTAATTTTAAAGGTCACAAATCAAAAAAATTATAAGTTACAATTTATCTATCGATCACATATTTTCAAATTTGTTAATCATCTATTTTTTCAGCCGTCACAAATCAAAAAAATTATAGGTTACAATTTATCTATCGATCACGTATTTTCAAATTTATTGGTCACATATTTTTTCAGCCACAGATTATCGAATTTTAATGTCATAAATTATTTTCAGCCATAGATTATATAATTTTAATGTCACGGTTTAATAGTCAGTTACAAAAAATCAAATATTTGGTCACATATACCAAACACTCAATCCCAATCAAAATCTTTTGTCTCATGGTAGCCTGCTCCAGTCTTTTTACGAAACTTCCTTTTCTTACATTTTTATCACTTTGATATGTCTTTTTGGAAAGAAAAAAAAATGAAGGGAAAGAAAAAAAATGAAGAACTTTTACTGTTATTCATTTTTAATAATCTGCATATACTATATAGTTTCAGCAAAAATGAAAGATTTTGCCCAATTTGAATGGATCTCAGTTGATTCCTCATTATTGCTCAACTTGACCCCTAGCCCAAGTATTATATTTGGTTATTTACTAGTTCTCTCAAAGTAGGATTCGAACCTATGATCAATCGGTTAACAGCTGACCGCTCTACCACTGAGCTTAATATTTTTGGGAATGGAAAACGAACTTCCTTTTAGTTCTCCCAGCTGGGTTATGAGCGGGCATTTTACCAAAGGTTTCTAATCTACACTTGTGTGTTTCTTGTTAAAGCATATACTCAAGGTGGGGTGACTTATTTGTCAACTTTTCCACTATCACCCAAAAATACCAAACTCTACCTTACATAAGAACTAGCAAGTTGATGGATCATTACCCTGATGATATAATAGTTCAAACACTACCCAACCCGAGACAATGCCATCACAACCACTACCAACAACACCACCACCACCACTGCCATTACGGCCACTTGCGACCACCCTTACCCCACCACCACTAGAACACCACTACAACACCACTGTCAGCTCTCTACAAACAACAACCTCCAGCACTAATAGAAACGCACCGCTACAGCCACTATCATCATCGCCATTGCCACCAACAACCATCTACACCACTACCATTGCACCACCACCACTAGACAACCACCAACACCACTATCACCACACAATGTGCACCATCACCACACGGCCATCATAGCCTACATCACCATCACATGGCCACCACCATCAACCGCACACAACCAGTAAAACTCAATCCAAATTTTCAGCACTAGTTCGTGACCAAATATCCACAAATCGAGACTATCAAATCTCAACAAAAATACACACACTCATAGAAACCAACCACTACACCACCACAATCGTCGTCGCCACCTCTACAATCAAACCACCACCACTTAGATCATCACTACAACACTCGAATCGTCGTGCTAACTGAGCGTCGAAGGCACAAACAATCTTCTAAAATTGTATGACAAATGGTTGGGTCTTGTCATGCTGTGTGAACTCTGTTATCATGCTGTAGTCACCGTCAACGAGGCGTTGTCGTCAACAGTAATTCGGTGCTATATAAGAAAAGAACACAGAAACGAGAGTGTAGAGAGAGAACATAGAGAGTGTAGAAAGAGAAGGAAATAATAATAATTAAGGTTTGATGGGTGGGGGTGGGCGTGGGGGTTGGGGTGGGGAATTTTATAATTAAATCAATACATGACATTTAAAAAAGAATAATACTATTTACAGTTGCTCACTACGACATGTTGTTTCTAGAGTTTGAATTCACTCCTTCGAAAACAATCGGACAGAATTACCTGAATGCAGGAATTGATCAACAGGATCAGAAATTGTAATTCGAGCCCACCGACTTCACGATGTGTCCTTAAAACGAATTTGCTGCCTTCAATGGTGCTAAAGGCGTCCAGCAATCGTTTCC